GTTTTTTTTTGTCTTTCACTCTTTTTTTCCCCTTTGCTCTGAACACTTTTTTCTATTTATATAGGTCATTATGGACCTGTGACCTTTTTATGGAAACTGGATTAGGGCAGGGGGAGGGACACTTCAAAGCTGAGGGACTGAGATGCTGGGGGTGCTGGAAGGTAGAAAGGCAACAATAGCTAAAATCACTAATGCTTAGTTGGTGTAGCACCCCAAGATCTGAGGAGGATACTCAGTGGCACTCTCTGACCCCACTCCTTAACTTGGGCCTCTCGGGCAATTCCACTGCTATGAAAGCCACCAGGAACAGCAAACAGACCACAGGCCATGACTGAAAATGGAGAAATTCACTGTAAGTTAAGATTTGGTTAAAGATCAGCTCAGAGAACTCAAGAAATCCAAAAGCCTTCTCAGGCTCCCTCAGTGGAGAGAATCAACTTATTAGAAAGTGCTGGATGTTTTCTAAGGTTCCTTAATACACTGGTTTTAAATACTTGATAATATGGTTTGTAGTGACTTGAACAGTGAACCATGAAGAAACACTGATTCATCTAGTATTTTTAAAAGTCTAGGATCTCCGGGAATTTACTTAATGAAGACTGCTTTTGTGCATGCTGAGAAAGAGATGGAGAAACACAGAGTCCTAAAAATTACCTTTCCTTTCTAAGAATGCTCTTGGAAAAAGAGCTATGATTTTAACACGTATACATTTGGTACATTTGGGAGCCTGTGGAAAACTAGTTCTCAAGGAGATCCAGAGAAAGAAAATGTTCCTGTGGCCAAACCCACAGAGCAGACCCATTTTTCAATGAGGACCCAAAGCTGGCTTATAGTCATTTGCTGTCCAATGTGGCCATGACAGTCATCACCTTGCTCTGGTTCTCTCTCATCTAAAGCTTCCTCTTCTTACCCAAAGTACCTCCTGCTGGTGATACCCGGCCATCTGCTGTTCTGACAAGGTGGGTGATCTTGGTTTTTCTTGCTTTTCTCTTTTGGCTGCCCACCAAGGGTTCTTGTGTTGTTGTTGGCTCTGGAGTGTTGGGAATGGATAGGGCATTTTTAACCTTATGAGCAGGCTCTGTGGTGTTCTTGTCTTCTGAAAATATGGCTGAAATAGGACAGATCATATATAGTTACACACAAAAGCATAAGACATCACATTGGTCTTAGAAAGAATTTCTCAATGCCTGACCCATCTGAATGGAGAACGGAGATTTAGAGTTTTCAAAGCACTGATGGGAAAAAGAAATAAAATGCTGCCCATTTTAAACAAATATATTTATTTTAATCTGCTTTGATAAATTAGATACAGAGAATTCAGATGCCCTCTCTCTCTTTTAACAGAACACTGAACCAAAAGGCCATCGGAGTAACATTTTCTAAGTGTTTGGATCTTGCAGGTTTGGTGGGGAAGACAGTGTATGCAAATCTGAGTGAATTGTGCTCCAACAGACCATAATTTCTACATGTGGCCAGGGTCCCTATCTGAGATCCTCTTGGCTACCCGTCCTGGGAAGATGATTAAAGAAGTTTCTCTTCTTCTGAGGACACTGAGATTAAATATGTGCTTCTGAATTTATAGTTATCATTGGGACACTTGGTTTCAATCACCAGGTTGGACTGATCAGAAAAGAAATTGTGAGGCCTGACCTTTTACACATACTGACTGCTCAGCAAAGACCTGGCCCACACTGGGGATGCCTGCACATAAGGAAACACTCTCCCATTCGCGGAATTCTAGGACCAGGTGAATGTGCTTAGTGAGATAATTTAATGAAGTGCCACAGGCCAGCAAGGCTCCAAGAAAGGTATCAGGTACCCTCATTCTAACTGAATACCAGTGAATCATTTAGCAGCACACACTTCTATCTGAGGAGTCACCGTGTCGAGAGTGAGGAGCACGCTTGCCACGCAAGACCTTGCTCCCAGTTCAAACAGGCTGGGGATGCTTGCATCTTTTCTTATACACTCATTTCCTTAGGAGTTCATTCTCCCACCCCCAATTTAAAAGTAAGACAAGTATATGTAGATATGAGTGCAGTAAACATTTAAGAATATATACATGCAGTCAAGTTTAGTAATTGGGACTTTTTTATTTTTTACTTTTTTTTAAATTCCAGTGGCCTAAGGGCTTTTAAGCAGGGAAAAGAGGTATCTTTCCATTTTTAAACCATCCAATCTCTTAAGACAGGTACAGAAATAGTTTCTGACAAAGAGGGGAGTGTGGCTCGGGAAATCAAGGTCTGACGTGGCTCACTCCCGTGCACAGAGCCGGGAGAAAACTGAAGGTGCTGATCGGAAGGCAAAGCTGAAGGGAGACACTGGAAATACAACAATGCATATCGCACGGGAAGAAAAGAAAGCTAAAATAAGAGGAAGAGAACAGAGCAAGAATAACTCAGGGTGTGAAAAAATGCATATGCTGGTATAAATCTGAGTTTTTAATGAGGTTAGGTACATCCTTGGGAAAGCAGGGCTATGAATTCGTTAAGATCTTTGCCCTCAAGAGACTGATTCCAAGCTTCCCATTCCAAAACAAGCAGGAAATCATTTCAATTACATCAAAAAAAGGATGTAAAGCAGAAATCATACTGTGATTTGTGGCTTGGCCTTACTCAATCTAGCATAATAGAGGGCTGTGTGGGACAGGCTTAAGATAATAGTTATTCAAAAGAAACTACTTGGCAACACTCCCAAGTATCTTTTCAAACAAGTAATCAAAAATTAGGAAAAAGGCTCCTTTTAAATTGTAGATCTGTACCCAGGAAACAGTCTTGGTGTATTTATACTTTGATATTTAGCTTAACATAGAGCAGTGCTGGTATGTATTTTAAGATTTTTTTTTTTAGTTTAAACTTCAATAAAAGCTGCCAGTAAAATAAAAGATAATTTGGTTAAGAAACACTCCAAAGAAGTTTCATGACTCTGCATTAGCCTTGAAATTCAAAGCCTCCAATACGTATAAAGAAGCCAGAATATGAGTTTACAATGAGCATAAATAACTTCTATTAGATATTCACAAGCTTCGAAATTTCTAGTTTCTTATCCAGATCCTTCAGTTGTCCCTTCTGATTATAGGCGGTGAATCTTAATCACTTCTCCAGTATGAACACAACATTATAGATGGCTCTTCCAGAAAAAGCACTAACCTATTCCCTCTTCTCCTTCCACTTCCTAGAAAAATCTAGAACTTATGGAAATAAGGGTACGGCAGGGTTCCAAAGACGAAGGGTGAATTCCATCAGAAGAACTGCTTACAGAAAGAACGAACCCAGGAGGTCAAAGAAAAGGCCATGTGGGTTAGGAAAAGATGACCTGATTTCTACACAAAGACCATGCGGTAACAGAAATGACAGTCACAGAGAGACCTGGATTCTGCTCTTGACTTTTTAATTTACTAATGGAAGGACCAAGGGTCTCTAGTTTCTTCATGTAAAGGTGGAGGCTGGACTAGATTGGCTCTAAAGGAGCCATGAGCCCCCACCCCACATAGCCCAAAATCAGGGTCCTAGCCAGCCTCCAGACAGTTCCAGAGTCTCAAGGCGAGGTAAGAGTACTTCCTTGACAAGGACTGTTAGTTCTTTTGCCTTTGGGAAGCCTTTGAATGGTTTCATTTCCTTTCAGTGGTTGCTCTGTTTCCTGTGTATTCCAGATGAATTAGTAGAAGCACAGTGAGAAGCCAAGGGGATGGCTGCAAAAGGGAGGTAGAGTTAAGGCCTAAAAGCAGACTGGGACTAGGGGAAGCTCAGAAACCAGCAGACAAGGAAGGCAGGCTGGCCGACAGACACCAGCAATCAAGTCCCAGAGGCTGGTGTACTGGGGGACAGAAAAGGAACGAATCAGGTTAGAGACCAAGTGGAAGAGGCAAAATGTGAGAATACATCGAAGATTCTCACAAATCACTGAAAAGGAGCTCATGCCACCTCTCTAGATGTCATCTCCTCTAAACTTACTGCCAGATCAAGAAGGAATCATGGGGCCTACAGATTGTCCACATTTCAAAGAGTGATATAATGAGACCTTGCCAGAATTTGGAAGAGGAAGTAAGCGTGAGTCTGCCCCATGCTTTGACCCAGGAGCTATCCCCAGAACATCCTGTGCTGTCTGGAGGCCAAGACCAATGACAGCCTTCAGGGACAGCACTCAGAGAGAACGCTGTCCTAAGACAGAAGACCTGGGGAAGGCAGGGAAGGCTAAGGCAAAGAAGTGGCCGTCTGGGACGCAAGAGCACATCTGAGTCCAGCAACGTTAGCAAAGCCAAGGATGGCCTGCTGGTGAGAGACAGGAAATGGAAAATGCTCAGAGAGAAAAACAGTCTGAAGCTGAGCACCCACACAGCAAGCCAGTTCCTTTTTTTCCCCTCCCTGCCAAACTAATGGAAATGTGAGAAAAGAAAGGCTTTTGTCCTCTAAAAACAAATTAGTCATTTCTCTTTCGGCTTGTAACTGAACACACAAACCTACCCAAGCACTGCGAAACAAGTCCACAGGGTTAGTTTTTATACTCCACGATAATCATAACACACTTGGAGCGTATCATCAGAGAGAGATAATGTGAGCTCACTCCTGGAGCAACGTTAGGAACGTGGTAATAAGAGACTGTCTTGTTTTCCAAACGCTGCTCCCAAAATGTGGGGTGAATTTTTTGAGATAGCAGCACTGTGGTTGTACCAAACCCCAGGAGGCCACTAGAGTGCTCCAGAGTCACGAATTCACATTCTGACTAGGGGAATCAAACCTGCACTGAAATTATTATAGCCAAATCTGGAATCTCACGGCCTTTGGTTGGTCTCTCTTGAGCTGAAAATGCAGTCAGATGCTGAATGGAACACAGGAAACAGAATCAAATGAATGAGCCTTATCTAAGACCCCAGGAGACCCTGTTGAAGTTACATAGCAGCTATTTTGAACTCGAGAAAAGAGATCAAGGTTAGTCTGAGTGTTGTGGATCACGTTAACTATAAACCAGATTTTTCTCCCCCATAATTAGATTTATATACTGCAAAGGAACTAATCTTCTGGAGATTCTCAGTCTCAGGTTTGGGTTGTTTTAGTTTTTTTCTCTTAAGATACCGTTTATAATTGCAACATCTGAGCCAAATAAGGGCTCAGATATGCCTGAAAAATCGAAATTGTTAGCAGCCAACGTGTTTTAGTGGAAAGAGTGCTGGTTTCTTCTCTTCCTACTTATGTTGGCCAGGCTTCACTCCTTATCATGTATTTATTTGGGGGCTAATAAGCCCTCCTGAATTCCCTGGGGCTCCTGCCAAGATTAGTTTTACATAAAATACTGTGAAAACCCTCTGGAAACCATAAAGCAATATTAAGTATGTAATAATAACGATGATGATAATTAAATTAGAAACCTCCAACTTAAGCATGAGCATAGGACACCATAACCCGGTAGAAAGATAAATACAGTGGCAGATACAAGTCATCTTGGTTTATCTGAAAATTTAACCTTTAATTCCAGGCTTATTGATAAGCAATCTTCTTTTATGATCTGCAGAAGTTTCAAGAAATGGTTTAGTGATTTTGAATTTTAAAAGCATGGGGGAAAAGGCTTAAAACAGATTATAAGCTTAGCATTTAAACTGCAGATGTGATTACTAAGCACCTAAAGATTTCTGGTATTTTGGGGAAGAAAAAAATGAATTGCAAGCCAATTATACTCAGGATGGTGAAAAAAAAAGCAGAGTGAACTTGAAGTTATCTCCTTTAACCGAAGTCAGGAATAGCAAACTGAGTTGAACACCTCAGAGGAACCAATGTTTCTAGTATAGACCTCAGCTACAAACAACTCCTGTCTAACCTTTGCCCAGGATGGCTAAAACATGTTAACCCTATCCTGATTACGGTTTCATCTTCTGTCCTTATGTATGTATACTCTCCAAGGTAAAGTTTAAACAAGCCATAGGTGAGAGAGGATGAAATAAAGCGTCTAGATAATTCACAGTCACCACCTGAATGAGGAAATATAGGGGATGGTATAAAAATCAGTAGCCAGAAAGGTCACTTTAAATTACTGGTAATTTCCGATGCGCAAATGGATTCCTTTTTTCCTGGCCACATAAAGTGAATATGCACTCTGTACCAAAAGACATGCAGTTTTCAATGCATATTCTTCAAAGTTTGTAACATATTCATATACATTAATAATAAATATGATTAATATCACCAATAATAACTCTATTCCCACTAAACCCTTGGCACTGCCCAGAAGACTTGAAATTGATTTACTTTTCTGCCCCCTAAAGGGCAGAATTAGGGCTGCAGAGTAAGGCTGCCTCCAGCACCACAGCACCCACTCAGCAAATCATAGTAATAACAGCAAGTATGAGAGGGGAAATGACATTTGAGGTTGATATATTACCCCCCCATCACTCACCCCACCCCCAAACACATATCACACACACACTTAGTACACACGTGGAGAGCGAACCTGGAGAGATTAAACACAATTTGTCCCACTGAAAACTGCCCCTTATTGGCAGGTCAGAGCCTGACACCTACGTCTCCTAATTCCAACCTTATTCATTCTTTCTACCTCACTGCACACACTATGATACCGTGTTCTACATGACACGGAGTTTGTTTAAAAAACAAAACATTTAGAACAGTATCATTTTAAGTAAAGAGTAAGATGGTCTTAAGAGCCTCTTTGATTCCTCTGATTGTTCATCACTGCCTTGCATTTATCAAGTCTGTGCAGAATATATCTTTAAAATTCACAAGAGCTAATATATTGCATTTTGGATGTTAGCATTTAATGCTGAGAGCAGCACAGCAATTCATATTTGGCTTTGCCAGCTAAGGGCAGAAACAGTCCTCTGGACAGGTTCTGCATGTGAAGTAACAGGCCAGAAAACAGATACACTGCTGGGATTTTTTGTAAGAGTGCAATGACATAAAATCAGATATCTGGCTCGTGTGAACTGTGCCTACCGAATAAGAACAATTTCATGTTTGCTATAAACTCTAGTTGGAATATTTTTTGAGAAATATCTTTAACACATGAGGATTTCTGATACATTACTTGGGCCAAATGTGCATTTTACATTTTTTCTCCCTTTCAGGAAAGAAACTAGAGTGTATTTGGGAGTCAAAAGACAAGGTCTGCTTCATGAAGTCCCCCTTTCTGGTTGTAAGTAAATCAAAGGGACTGGACTCAGTGATCTTTAAGACTGCTTCTAGTTTTCAAATGAAGCGACTCCTAATGAAGGACTATAAAAATGTTGAGCATGGGGCGCCTGGGTGGCTCAGTCGGTTAAGTGTCTGACTCTTGGTTTCGGCTCTGGTCATGATTTCCCAGTTGTGGAATCAAGCCCTGCGTGGGGCTCCAAGCTCAGTGCAAAGTCTGCTTCAGATTCTCTCTCCCTCTCCTTCTGCCCCTCCCAGCTCACACGTGCAGGCGCATGCTTTCTCTCTAAAATAAATACATAAAATCTTAAAAAAAAAAAAAAAATTGAGCTCCTTAAAAATAGCGACAATGAAAAAAAGGAACAATGGTAAGAAGAGGACAGCCCCTTCACAGTCACAGAAATGAGCACTCACTGGAGGGTTCAGTATTTAACAGAAATTAGGTAGACATCACAGCTAAAGAGGGCTGTGGGAAATTTTGAAGTAAAATCTGCACCTAGGACCTACAACATTATGCTAGTCAACATGGAACTTTTCCTCGGTTATCCGTAAGCCTCTGGAGTATTCCATCTGAACATATTTAGAGGTACTGGGAGTTGTGCTGGGGCGAAGTTCAGGACAGGAACACTGCTGACATGCCCAAGCCCAGCCAACCAGAAAAGCCCCACGCTGGCTCTACTCTGGCTCCCATAAGCATCTGCCTGCAACATGAATGCAACACTGAATATTTTTAGTTATGGAAAACTTTAATTTCTGGTTAATGTGGTTCAAAGGCTGTAAGTGCCCCTTTGACAAATTAAGCTTGTATGACACACCGCCTGACCCTCAGCAGGGTAAAAAAATCTGTCAGTTTTGATTTGAAAATTAAAAACAACCAAATTACGAGCCCTCAGGTATAGTGCTCTTGGGTGAGCCTATATAAATTATGCCTTTTTAAACCTTTCCAACACAGACTACCTGAAATGATACAGAGAATACTGTTGCGTTTACCTTCTGTAGGGTGAATGGCATCCAAGAAGAGTTGCTTGTTTGACCATTTATCCCCACTTCCTAAAAACAACGACAGAGAAAGAAAGTGAAACTCTACTCCTAGGACAGACACATAACAGTATAAAAAGAAGATAATACAAAAAACAGCTTATATATGAAACTTTATCACACAAATGAAGCAGAGTTTTATTTTAACTATTTAATTCTCAAAACGGCATTTGCCAACTAAAATAATCAGGTGATACAGGAAATGGATTGAAAATAAACAAATCTGCTTTCTGTGAAATACACTGTTGGATAATTTCTATGACTTTCATCAAGACAACTGACCATCAGTTAAAAAGGAATGATAAAAGCTGACATTTTACCTAAAGAGTGAGGTTTCTCTATTGGAAGCAGAGAAAAAAATATTAACATACAAAACAAAACCAAGGGGCTGGAGCGGAGGTGAAAAATAAAACCCAAATGAAGTAAAAGGTCACATACAGGAATGCGTAGGCACATATGTCTACACATGGAAGACAGGTGCATTTAAAGGCTCATTCCAGAAACATGAAAGGCTTCACATCTGGCCATGCAAGTGGGATGCGAATGGGCATCGGATGAGTAGGCTCACAGTGGTCACGACAGGAACATGCAGGGCGATGCTAAAGAAAGCCTAACTTCTGGGACACATGGCTGGACTGAACCAGACAGGGAGATTTATCTTTTATGTGGAATAAGAACAGGAGTCCTGAACTACGAAAAGAAGGAAATCTTCAGATGAGTCCTGAAGAGGTTCAAGGGCCCATCAAAATCATAACAATAAGACAGATGCTCAGAGTGAAGAGATGGTGGAGGGCAATGCACGTCTAGTGCCCTCTGGAAATAAGTTACCTGACTGAAGGGGGTGGGAAGAGCCTGGCAAACAAAGTAACATAGACTGGAAAAAAAGAGACAGGTTACGGCTTCCGAGTGGAATCCTCCCAGACAAGAATCCTCAAGGGTCAGAGAAAGTACAGAAATGGGGGCACTTTCATATGAATAGGAAACTCCTGAGGTTTCAGGAGGTAGGAAAACGTGATCCTGGTTTGAAGGCTGCCCCACATGAGAGAAACGAGAATAGTCAAAGGAAATAAGTGGATAAGAGCTCAAGAAGACTAAGTTACAAAATGCACCAAATATGGATGAAAACAGCAATTTTAGGATTCATATGGAACTCTGAAAATAGAGACATTATGGGATTTGAGTAGGAATCCAAGTGAAGGAGATCTCTCTTTGCAATTAGCGGCGGAGTCTAGAGATAATGAATACGCCTGCATTAGGAGCCGATGACACTGAAGCAAGCCGAGGGGAGGAAAAGGCAAAGGCGGTGCACAGAAGCGTTACTCAAAGATGAATTCACAATGGAGGTGGCCAAGAAACCTTGATGGAGGATGGAAGGCACCAATACCTTTTTCCGGAACATTAGGCTTCTCCTTTTTGTGCTTATATTTGCTGACAATTTTGTGGAATAAGTTCTTTTTCTGAGACTGGAAAGGACCTACAGACAATATTAATATAAATATATTTTAAATTGACAATGTTTCATAAAACAATACCGTGTGTTCCTAAACAATTACACCCTCCTCCCCCTTGTGGTACAAGCAAACGGAGTCACAAGAAATGTCATCTTGCATATCTTCACTCCTCTAAATATACTCAGCGCCCTTCCTTAGGCTTACTTAAAACCCACTGAAAAATTCTCCTTAGGAATGTATTGGGCAGGAGCCCCCATTAGGGCTGGGACTCCCTAAGCAGAAACTGCAGATTTAGTGACTAGAGACAGACCACAACCCGTAACTGAAGAGTAGCTGTAGGCTTTAACAAAGAAGCGATTTTACTTTATTTTAGATTCCTCAGTATGGTGAAGGAAAAGATGGCAGGGGCATTTCTTCTAAGAAACTGGTTTTTGTAGTAAGAACAGCACTTTCAGGACAATAATTGGCCTGAGGGCACTGGATAGCTTTCTAGCCTTTTCTGAGGTTATTCTGGGAAGAAAATGTGCTTTAAAAATACAAAAACATTTGCCCCAAAAAATCGGGGTGGGAGGGGAGAGAAGTCTCAGATTGTATCTTTGGTTCCGCAGATAAAGAAAACAGAACGACGATTTGTCAATCACCTAATCGGAAATGCCAACAGCAGCACTGACCTCCCCAAGCAGGTTTCTTTCTATATATACTTTGCTGATATATTCCTATGTGAAACGGACTCAAATCACTTTATGTAACTTCTGTTTGCTCATCTGTAAATGGGGATAAAGACAGTGCCTAACTTAGAGCTGACGTGAGGATTTAAAGAGTCAGAGACTCTGTAAGCTGCCCCTGCTCCCACTACCCACCCGCCAGCGTCTGTACCCACATGTACTGCTCCCCCTCCTGCCAAAGGCAAGCTATTCCCACTCCTGCCTCCAGCAGAGACTCACTGGCTTTTACGTTCACAGTATCTGCAACTGTCACCAATTTTAGAACATTTCCATCACCTCAAAAGTAAATCCCATACCCTTTAGCTATCACCCTTCCCTATTTCTGCATTCCCTCTATCCCTCAGCCATCACTCATCTCCTTTCTGCCTCTATAGATCTGCCTATTCTGGAAATCTCACACAAATGAATCATGTAATACAGTCTTTTGTATCTGGATTCTCTGACTTGCTATAATGTTTGCAAGGCTCATCCATGTTTAGTGTGTATCAGCAGTTCACTCCTTTTTAAAGGCTGAATAGTATTCCACTGTATGGATGTACCACATTGTGTTTATTCACTCATCGGCTGATAGATATCTGGGTTGCTTCCACCTTTGGGCTATTATGAATAATCCTGTTAGAATTACTCATATATTAAGCTTTTTGTGTGGATATGCATGCTCATTTTTTTGGGACATATACCTAGCGGTGCAAGTTGCTAGGTCGTATGGTAACTCTATGTTTATAAACCTTTGGAGGAACTGCCAGATTATTTAACATCCTTGTCAACACTTAACTATTAATCTGTCTTTGAGTATGATCATCATAAGGATGTATTTCTCTCACTGTAGTTTTGATTTGCATTTTCCTGGTGACTAATGATGTCAAGCATCTTTTCATGGGCCCACTGGCCATTTGTATATCTTCTTTAGAGAAAGAGTTCTGATAATTTGTCCATTTTTATTTTTTTATTATTTTTTTTACATGGATGTCTGTAGCAACTTTATCCTTTTTTAAAATTGTTATGTTAATCACCATATACTACATCATTAGTTTTTGATGTAGTGTTCCACGATTCATTGTTTGCGTATAACACCCAGTGCTCCATGCAGTACGTGCCTCTTTAATACCCATTACCAGGCTAACCCATCCCTCCACCCTCCTCCCCTCTAGAACCCTCAGTTTGTTTCTCAGAGTCCATAGTCTCTCATGGTTCATCTAATTTGTCCATTTTTAAACTAAGTTGTCTTTCTTTTTATTGAGCTGTAAGAGTTCTTTATATATTCTACACAAAAGTCCTTTATCAGATAGGTAGTTTGCAAATATTTTCTCCCATTCTGTGGATTGTCTTTTCACTTTATCAGTGTCCTATGAAGCACAAAAGTTTTAAATTTTTAACAGTCCAATTTATTTACTTTGTATTTTGGTGTCACAAAGGATCCATTGCCAAATCTGAGGTCACTTAGATTTGACCCCTATGTTTTCTTTGAAAAGTTTTATAGCTTTAGCTTTCACACTGAGGTCTTTGATTCATTTCAAGTTAATTTTTGTATATTGTGTGAGGTAAGTAAGAGTCCAAATTCATTCTTTTGTATGTGGTTATCCGGTTGTCCCAGCACCATTTTGAAAAGACTAATCTTTTCCCCATTGAATAGTCTTACCTTCTTCATTGAAAAACCACTGGTCAATGATGTATAGGTCTATTTTCTGGGCCTTCAATTCTATTCCATTAACCTATATAACTATGTCAGTACCACGCTGCTTGCCTACCAGTTTTTGTAGCTAGTTTTAAAACTGAAAAAATTATTTGGCTATTCTGAATCTCTCGCAATTCCACATTAATTTTAGAATCTCTTAGTATCTATAAAAGAAGCTAGAATTCTAATAGCGATTGGGCTGAATCTGTAGATCAATTTGAAGGAGTATTTCCATCTTAACAATATTAAGTCTTCCAATCCATGAATATGGGATGTTTTTCCATTTATTTTGATTGTTTTTCTTTCAACAACACTTTGTAGCTTTCAATGTGTTGCACATCTTTTGTTAAATTTATTCCTATGTACTTTATTCTTTTTGATGTCACTATGAATGGAATTGTTTTCCTAACTTCATTTTCAGATTGTTCATTGAAACTGTACAAAATACAACTGATTTTTTTTTTTTTAATTGAAATTCTAGTTAGTCGACATACTGTTCAATATTGGTTTCAGGAGTAGAGTTCAGTGGTTCATCATTTACATATAACCCAGTGCTAATCATAACAAGTGCCCTCCTTAATACCCATCATTCATCTATCTCATCCCCCCATCCCTCCAACTACCCTGTTTGTTCTCTATAGTTAAGAGCCTCTCATGATTTGTTTCCATCTTTTTTCCCCCCAGTCCTGAATGTTCATTCATTTAGTTTCTTAAATTCCACATATGAGTGGAATCATATGGTATTTGTCTTTCTCTGACTGACTTATTTCACATAGCATAATACACTCTAGCTCCACCCACGTCATTGCAAATAGCAAGATTTCATTCTTTCTGATGGTTGAGTAGCATTCCAGTACACACACACACACACACACACACACGCACATACCCCGTATCTTCTTTATCCATTCATCAGTTGATGGGCATCTGGGCTCTTTCCATAGTTTGGCTATTGTTGATAATGCTGCTATTAACATTGGGGTGCATGTATTCCTGTGAATGTGCAATTTTTTTTTTAATCCTTTGGGTAAATAGCTAGTAGTGCAATTGCTGGATCATAGGGTAGTTCTGTTTTTAGCTTTTTGAGGAACCACCATACTGTTCTTCAGAGTGGCTGCACCAGTTTGTGCTGCCACCAACAGTGCAAGAGGGTTCCCCTTTCTCTGCATTACAACTGATTTTTGTATCCTTCAAACCTGTTGAACTCATTAATTTATTAGCTATAGTAGTTTTCTGGGGACACCTTAGGTTTTCTATATAAAATATCACGTCATCTATGAATAGGTATAGTTTCACTTCTTCCTTTTTCTTGCCTAATTGCCCTGGCTAGAACCTCAAGTACAATGCTGAACAGAAGTGCTGAGAGTGGACATCCTTATCTTGTTCCCTACCTTAGGGGGAAACACTGTCACTATTAAATAGGAATGTTGTGGGATTTTTGTAGATGCTCTTTATCAGGTTGAGGAAGTTTCCTTCCACTCTGAGTTTGTTAACTATTCTCATAAAATATGCTGGACTTTGTCAAATGCTTTTTTTCTACATCTATTAAGATGATCACACGGGTTTTCTGTTGTTTTATTGATATAGTATACTACATTGATCTTTGGGTGTTAAACCAACCTTGCATTCTGGGAATAAAATCCCATTTGGTATATAATTGGTAATGGTATATAATTCTTATTATATGTTGCTGGATTTGGTTTGCTACTATTTTGTTAAGGAATTTTATGTCTCTGTAAGAGCTATGATCTGTAGTTTTTCTTGTGATATCTTTGTCTAGTTTTGACATTCAGGTCATGATTGGCCTCACAGAATGAATTAGGAAATATTCCCTCTTCTTCTAATTTTTGAATGAGTTTGTGAAAAACTGATATTAATTCTTCTTTGAATGTTTGGTAGAATTTAGCAGTGAAGCCTGGGCCTGGGTTTTTTTTTTTTTTCCCTTTGGTACTTTTGTGATTACTAAATTCAATCTCTTTAGTAGTTACTGTTCTATTCAGACTGTCTATTTCTTCTTATTATCAGTTTTGGTAGTTGTGCTTTCAAGGAATTGTCCATTTCACACAGGTTATCTAATTTATTGGTATGTAACTGTTCATAGTATTCCTATCTAATCTGTTCCATTTCTGTAAGGTCAGCAGTAATGTCCCCTATTAGATTTTTTATTATAATAACTTTAGTCTTCTCCTTCTTAATTGATCAGTCTAGCTAAACATTTTTCTAATTTGTTGCTCTTTTAAAAGAACCAGCTTTTGGTTTCATTGACTCTTTAATGATTTTCTATTCTTTATTTAATTTTATTAATTTCCTCTTCAATCTTTATCATTTCCTTTCTTCTACTTCCTTTAGGTTTCATTTGCTCTTTTTCTTACAATGTTTCAAGATAGGTCAGATTATTGATTTGAGATCTTTTTTCTTTCTTGACATAAACATTTATAGCTATAAACTGTGCTCTAAGCACTGTCTTAGTTGTATCCCATAAATTTTGGCATGTTGTATTTTCATTTTTATTCATCTCAAAGTATTTTCTGATTTCCTTATTAATTTCTTCTTTCTTTTTATTTTTTTTCTTTGATTTATTGGTTATTGAGTATATGTGCTGCCAAAGTGACTTACTGGCTAT